GTTGGCTTTTTTTAAAATTATTTATGAAAGATGAATGAAATGGTTATGAAAAGTCACTTGTCATTATTATTATTATGGGAACATGAGAATTTCCCTCTTGGGAAGGAGGACTGTTGAGAAATGTTGAGAATGATATTAATACGCTGATCCCAGTTGATTGAAGGTCGAAAATCTCTGGATGAAATTTATGAGGAGGCGATTTGAGACACATTTTGGAATTTCCGGAGGAGGCAGAAGGCCCAATTGGGCAACTTAATACCTGTATTGATGCGGTTTCGGCCGTTCGTTCAAAACGCGCTTGAAGTATGAGGTTTTCTTTTCCCCGCGTCTCGGTGGATTTTGACCATTTGTCCGAAATCCGTCTGGATTCTGGGCAAAGTGCTTGGCTCATGCAGATGGCTTTCCTCTCCATCCAGCTGGATTTCGGACAATTGCCCGAAAAACAAGTTTGAGCAAGGGGACCCCTTCCCCTCATTGCATACAATCGGAATTCGGAGAATTGTCCGACGCTCAGCTCGAATGGGAACCTCGTCTACTCCAGTATTTCGTCCAAATGGCAATTGAAGAATCTCTTCTCAAATTTAGCCGGGATTTGAGACAAAGACATAAATACCATTCCTACAGGATTGATCAGTGGTCCGTTCCACAGCCTAGTAAGGTTCCACGGAGGAAAGATGGCCATAAAAGTAATTAGTGAACACGATATGAAAAACACGGCCGTTTTGCCTCATAACATTGAACCATTTTGCACAATACATGGCCACAGAGTAGCACATATCTCGATATGTCTCTCTGGTTCTGCTGGAGCAAGCGAATTTTCCTCGCATTTCTATGAATGTCAGCAATAATGGTCACGTTTGGACAAGAAATTTTGAAAATTTGGCTGAAAGTTAGGAAGTCATTCCATTTGGAGTGCCTCTCCTTAGCATTTCATCATATGTGCTGACCAATACACACAAATATTGCACCCGGTCCAACCAAACAACTACAGTGCTTATCGAATGAATTCACCCCCCCTGCAGTGGGCGGTGGCGCTGCTGGCTGTGAGAAGAGAGTGACATCTGTTTTTCATACCATAAACAGCTAAACTAATCACATTTGCGATCCCAGCAAGGTACCCACCCAAGCAGCATGTTTATGTTAATTTTACGTAAACTGAATGTAATTTTTTTGTCCATTTCATGTCTATTTTACGCAAACCATCATCATGATAATGTCAACATGTTTGCAGTAATGTCACCTCGGGAATACGTAAACGGTGATATAAAATTTACGTAAATTTTACGTAAAATTGACATTCCCGTTTACATCCCCAACAGCATATTTACATGCATATTACGTAAAATTGATGTTGATTTCCCCATAATATTCATCCGTATTTAACGAGCTAATTCGTACTTGAAGAGAATTGATGAACTGTACTTTTCCCATTCCTATCCATACTTTGGTACTTCAGGTTACTTGGACGAGTACACTAGTACTCATCATCTCCAGGTTACTTGGACGAGTATACTAGTACTCATCATCACCAGCGCTCCAAGTACCTAGTACTTCCTCCTCCCGTACCAGGACTTTGGGAGGAGGAATACATCTTTAGAGGAGTTCTCTTCCATTTAGGATAGAGAAGGTATAGTACTTGTGGAGCTGGGATTCTACTCTTCCCCAATCCCGTGCACTGCTGTAATAACAAGCTGTAAAAGAGCATCAAGAGCAAGAGCAAGGTGACCATCATTTTTACAGAGCAAGTAAAAATGATGGTCACCTTGTCATCGACGCAATCACGAAATCAGTCATATATATAATTCTGAAGCATTTTTATGTTTACCTTATAATTTTATCATACTTGAAAAGACACCTGGAAAAAATTCACATTTCTCAATATTCCGGAAATCCGAAGATGAGTTAAACGAAATTTTAATTGTTAACTTTCTGAATCCTTCTCTATAGTCTTGGTTTTCACGGAAGCTTTCCTTTCCCTTCCAGGAAAATCTCATATGGCAGGCGATCTACGTTTGATGTACTTTTTACAAATAAGAAGAAATGGACTAGAACCCAGTTGATGCCTAAGTTAATGAATAAATTTGATCAAATGTAGAAATACAAGAAATTTGAGTAATGAATGTAATTTTTCCCTCTTCTTAGTCTAAATAATGATTATGAAATCCTTCGTTAGTCAATGGGTATCATTGATGTGATTAAAATGAATGAGAGAAAGAAGTTAGAGGCATGTCATTATCTCCCCAAAAGAGTCTTTCATAAATTAATACGATTTATATTGATGGAAGACTAAGCGAGATTTAAATGGTTCATTCGATAAGCACTGTAAAATGAAACCTCAAAGTTAAAATGAAACTCGTTAAAAGCGCGACTCTCCTGGTAAAACCGATAGGCCTGGTCCCCCCAGTTTGCATGTCCGCTGAAGCCTTTTGAATTTTCATTTGAAAAAAAAATGACACGATGAAGTAGTGTGAGAACCATTTCAGGTGAGCTTTCCCCGTCTTTACCCTTCCTCCCCTTCCCTCTTCTCTTTGGCATTCACTCACTTTAGACCTCGAAATAACCCAAGGACCATCCTCAGGTCTGACGTAGGTCTACCTTTTCTCGTTCGAAAGTTTCGTAACCCCAAACTTAAGGGGCCGATTGGGCTTAAAGGGTTGAATCCTAGAATATTCGAGTCATCCAGCTAACCTTACTAGTGGGGAGATCTCAGGGATATGAAAATGTCTGGGCGTAAAGACATCCCAGGATGTCTCTTTCTTGAAGCACAAATCCGAAGGATGTCCCAGAGATATCACCTATGGTCAAATGAGAAGTTCAGGTGGTACTTGCAGGCGCCTTCCTATTCGCACCCATTCTTTTTGAAGATGTCTCTATTTGATCTAGGAAAACCGAATCTTAAGTTTTTAACAGATTGAGAATGAGGAATATGGGGGACGAAAATCCTGTTGCTGAAGAGAGCCCCAGTATAGGAGACGCATCTCCAAGGGACGAAATTTAGCACCTTTACACGAGGGGTCATGGACGATATGATTTAGCCTTTCGCCCTTTGAAAAGAATGGGCCAATCAAGATGGTAGTATCCGGACTCTCCGATCACTCATCATTTAATGGAATATAGCGGAATAAATTAATATTCTCACCGGAATTTATTCTATTTTCCTGGTGGCAGTTTTCCTGATGTACGGTACAAAAATCCTTACTTATCCTCACGACAAATCAAGTAGATGAAATTGAGAGAAAAGATCTGAGGTTGCAGACATCCTCCTCAAGACATTGAAAAGCGTTCGACTGAAGACTTAAGATATCTCTAAGATATCGGCCGAAGATGACTAAAAGAGACCTCTTAGATATCCCGAAGACACCCCCATTCCATTCTGTCAATCAAACTGAAGCCGGCGGTTTCAGATTGAAATATTTTCTTAAATATTGCTCCCCCTTCTCCCTTATGCTTTAAACAGTTCGTCACTGTAACGCAGAATTAAGGCAACAAGGTGAAGATTGATGGAACAATCGCCCTTGCGAATAAATCTCAGAACCAGTCGCCCTTACACACATGTTCCAAAAGAAATGACATCACAAAAAAGAGATCTGGAGAGAGGAACCAGGAAAAAAATAGGAGGGAAGCTTGGGCGGGATGGGGGGGAGATGGAAGATTCGAAGCAACAACTGGAATATTGCATGATTTTGTCATTCGGGCTTTTACTTCTACCTCCATCCTGTCTCATGCTCTTTACACGAGTGAATGAGTTGACAAGAGGTTCGATGCTGATTCATCGGTGGGGGAGTTGGGAGACGGAATCATGACATGTCATGCCTCTCAGCATTTCCCTCTTTTTCTCCCCATCACCCCTCCAAGCTAATGTCTCCCGTCACCAATAGAATGCATGGTATGATCAACATTTCGGGATCGTTTTCTTCCTAATGTTACGATGGGACCCATGGGCTCTTCGGAACTATATCCCTCAAAGTAGTTCCTACGGTCTTGTAGTCCTGTTGTTGAGCTTTTCTGCCAGCTCCAGAGGCATTTTCTTTTCGCTATCTTTTGCAACCATAACATCTTCTGTTTTGAACTAAGAGAATCGTCTACTTTCTTCGAAATGATTTTCTGAGTATGGTTCAATTTTGTTGAATGGCATGGATTGCGATGCACCTAGCAACTACGTGCATTTCATCGATCTTGCATCTTCAAAGGAGAAAATGCAAAGGATATTCGACGTCGCAATGGGAAATGAGCTACCACCGGAATCCGAGCCTCGTTGGTTTTGCAATTCATTTGGACATTTGCCCTAAAATTACGTACGTAAAATTACGTTAAAAGTGACGCTGCCAATATTCTCTGGGAATCTCATATGGTATTCCATTTATGGGCATGTTGAGTAGAGAATTTATTTCTGAGCCACTTTTGGTATTCCTCATGACCTCGGTCACCTCATTCATACGTAACCGATCGGCTGGGTTTGTAAAAGAAATCCCTAAGTGATATTTATAGCTTGCACCAATCGTTTTTTTTTCCGCTTCGTGTACTCTCGAACATGCGAGACGATAGCATTCCCCCTCTGGAGTCTCGCTGTATAGTCTAAGAAAACATAATGAGGATAATCGAGGAGCATATTTCGCAGATGTTCTTCTCAGAATATGCTTCCATAAAGCCTTTGTGCTTCTGTCGAGGAATGAATTTTTCGAAAGCACAGGGTATCTCCCCTCGAGGTTTCGCAATCAAAAATCAACCGAAGACGTTAGATTCCGAACCGATTTCATCCCAGAGTGTAAATTCAGCGACATGCTTCTGTTGGACGATTCAGATTCCATCTGTATATTATCGAAAGTTCTCAAAAACCACTGGAATATCTGCGATGAAAACCCGAAAACGTGGATCCGGGTTCTGGATTCGACACGCACCTGTGGCCATACCGACGCGTTCCACCTTCCTTCCCTGTGAAAGGCAGCCACACACACTTGTGTCGACTGTGCGTCGAGCTGTGACCGCATTCGATGCTAGCTGTGGCAACAGTTGCTGTAGCCGTCACTCGACGCCGAAAGCGTGGGAGGCCGGGCTCGACTCGACCGGGTATAAACGAGGGGCCTGCCCTCGGGTCGACGCAGGATTCCGCGAACTCTCGGCGACCCCGTCCGCCTTGCCATGAAGTTCCTCACCGCGGTGAGTTCCTCTCTCGTCTTTCCTGCGTCATCCGATGGGATGCCGATTCACTTGGATGGAGCGACCCGGAGGTTCGACGGGTAACGACGAGGTTCCTTTTCTTGCAGTTCCTGACGTTCGCGACGATGCTGGTGGCCGCGTTGCAAGAAGAACTCGTCCAAACGGTTTGTGCCTCCTCGTTCTAGAAAAGACACTCCAGAAATAGGGAGAGGAAAAAAAAAAGACATCGCATGATACATTTCAGTCAACTGAAGAATAAGGACTAATTTTCTTGGTTTTCGTTTGTTCTCGCGTTGTTTTCGTTTCCACTGTTCGTGCATTTCAGCATCTGCGCGTATATCTCTCATCAACCATTCGTGTCGATGCTGCCGAAAATCGTAGCAAACATTTCATCTTTTCTCACTTTTACACCAATACCCGCGGCTGACTGGGAGCGGTTCGTTCTCGTCGCAGAGAGCCGGAAACTGCCCCAGCCCGCCTCTCCTCGGCGGGTACATCGGCACTTCCAACTGCTATCCGAGTTCGCCGATCGCAAGCTGCGGCTCCGTGTCGGCCTACGGCGTCTCGGCGGCGGAGAAGGACCAGATCGTGTATTACTTTAACTACTTGAGGGCATGGGTCGCCTCCGGCAGGGAAACGCGGGGAAGTCCCGGACCTCAGCCAACGGCCTCCAACATGCGACGCATGGTATCGTCCATTCACCTGCTTCCTTTTCATCCCTGTCCCGTTGCAATCGAGTTGCTAACGTCCCATTCGGGTTGAAAATATTTACATTTTACGAAACGTGTTATTGAAACTTGATTTTCCTTCGCAATGCCGCCGGGATACCTGCTAAAGAACATCACCCTCGGCCTCCACCCCGAAAAGATCCAAACGAACTTGGAAACCTGGGCACTTTTTCCAGGTGTGGGACGAGCGCCTGGCAGCGACGGCGCAGGGCTGGGCGAACAACTGCCGATTCGACCACGACCGAAGCGAATGCCGCAACTACGGCAGTACGTTCTCCCTCTCGAAATTGCCCCCGCTTCGCCTTCACCCCTCGTCGAGACTTTTTCCTCGCCCTCCTTTCCAGCCTCCTTCAAAGCAGCGGGCCAGAACATCGCCTGGAGTTGGGGGACCGGGGCCAAGGATTGGTGGGCGACCATCTTAGACTGGTATAACGAGGTTGCCAGCTTCGATTCCAGGAGCGTATCGCGATACTCGTATGTCCCTCTCGCTGTTTTCGCCAAGTAGGCATTTTCTGAGATCTCTTCGTCTGGACTCTGCAAAGTGCAGTCGTTCTTTTCATTTGGAACGAAAATGAGTACCTAAGAACACGACTGATCGTTTCGACGATCGATCGTTCGATCGGTGGTCGATCGTTTCGACGCGCCAGGTGTGACAGTAACCTTTCTTTTGGGTACGTGTCGCCCTCGCCGAAAGAGGAACAGAGAAACAAATAAAGGCTAAATCCATGTCGGAAACGTCGCACACGCTTTCCATCGAGAGCGATATCGTCTGTATGAACTCTCTCGCATTAGATCGTTCGACGATTCGAGAACAGTTGCTGGAATGCCCCGCGTTCAGGATAATGCCGTATCGATGATCGGAAGGAAGGGGTCTCAGATGGATATCAAAGGTTTCGTTCCAGCGTGACATGCCTATGACGAAAAACATGGTAATTCCTTAGGTTCTCGATGACGACGGGACACTATTCGCAGCTGGTATGGGCATCCACTTACGCCGTGGGATGCGGCTACGTCGCCTACGGAGGAGGGAACCGGCTCTACGTCTGCAATTACGGGCCGTCTGGGAACTCAAAAGGGGCGACGGTGTACGGCGTCGGGACCCCTTGCACCTGCTGCCAATCTTCCTGCACTTGGGGTCTCCTTTGCGACTGATGAAGGTGCGTTTCGTGCACTCGATATCGACTGGCGGTTTCGATTTTGCCCCTCGGTGCATTTCTTGGGACCAGATAATGATGTGTCTGCTTCTTTTTTTGCTACTGGCCCCACGAATGGAAAATAAAACGATTCATTTAGGAGTGCGAGCATTCGACTCACGGAAAAATTGAATTACACATCGCATTCTCGAGAATTAAAACGAAAGAAACCAAGCGGTGAAAAGAAACGGACTTTCATTTTTTCCATCTTCATGGGAAAATTAAAGAAAACCGGGCATAATTTTCTCCCCTGTTCCACAAACCATAACTCGGCTTACTTCTTCGCACGTAGACTTGCACGTGCAAGCGGAATACGTAGTAGAATACGGTCATGCATTCACTCTACGCACGGCGCAATCACTTTCGGCAAAAATCTGGAGGCAAGAGACATCCATCCCTTGACGATTCTTGCAGCCACTTCCGCATCCCTCATCGGATCGTGCGATGGAAACTAAGAGAAAAAAACGAGATTCTCATAATTAATATTTCCACACTGAGCCAATTCAGCCGCATCCGGTTTTATTGTAATTAAAGGGGACAGAAATGCAGTGAACCCCTTTCCAAAATACATTTTAAACTAACGCTAGCTTTTCCCCTGCACATCATAAAATCCTCCCGAATGCTTAGAAACTGAAACGAACCGAAAGGCATATCATGGACCTCGTAAAAACGCCCTTTGGTTTGTCTCCCTGTGAGTCTAATATGCACCTATTCCAGTGGGTGTGAAGTCATTTCGTGCAGGCTTGCTGTCAGTATTTCGAATCGGTCGGCAACTCACTCGTGATTGGGGGAAGAGTCGTCACAGCGTCATTAATATTTCAATCTCGGAATTTTGCGATCGGACTTTGCATGAGCATAACGTTGCGTCTCTTCGATTGAACGAGCACATTTCATTGATATTCCGCTCGGATGAGGCTCCCATCGAGCCCGTGCGCCATCGTCGATAAAAGGAATTCGTGGGAAGCACAGCGCATCTTCCTAGGAGGTTTCAGTACTCCACGTTCAATTAAAAGCGTCAATTGAGGTTCCAAGCCGATTTGGTCCTAGAGTGCGAATCGGGGTGTCGCAAGTCCGTGTCATATACGGAACGCAAACAGACCCGAAGACAGGCCCATCGTTCGTCCCACGTTGTCGCTCGATGATGAGCCGCATCGGGATTCGGTCCCAGCGGCACGAACGACACATGCTTTTATTGAATAGATGACTTCTGAAGCGCGACGTGTCTGTGGATGCACAGGTGCATGCCGTATCCAGAACACGGATCCGGGTTCTAGATACGACACGCACCTGTGACTTCCCGAATTACACTCTGGGACCAAATCGGCGCGGAATCTCATTTCGTGGTTGCAGTTCTGAAAACAGGGAGGAAGATGCCCTCTGCTTTTCACGAATTCGTTCGGCTCGATCGGAGCCTTTTCCTAGCGGGATATCAACTTAATGTGATCCTTCGATCGAGAGGTGCAAAAGGATATTCATACAAGGTCAGATCAAAATGTTCAGAGATTCCCTTACAAAAAATTTTAACTGAGGTAAAAGAACGGGGAATTTTTTTAACCTCAGTTTCACCGTCCGAATTTTACCGTTCCCCTCTCATTTACCGCTTTTTTGCCTACATTTTACAGCAGTTTTATCTCAGTGTTTCACCTATCACTTTCGCACTCGACTGTTCCGAGTTGAATGGTCGAAAGTTCACAGACCCTGAGATGAGTTCAGCCCAATATCGAAGGAACCGATTCGCATCACAACACAAAGAACCTTTTTGAGGAGCCGAACCACTGACACCTAACGGCTCGCAGTCGTGACGGTTACCGAGCGATGCGGAGATAGAAGTATTTCCAACGCGTCTCCCAAGGATAACAAAGACTCGCGCGAAGGTGCGAGGGGGAACGAACCCCTGGATCGACCGCAATTTTACCCTCGAGTCGTGTCTCTTTTCAAGATCCTGCTCGTGGAATAGTCGTTTCCCCTCAGCTTCAAATCAAAATCGGAGATTCCCCTCTTTTTCCCCGTTTTTTTCCCTCTCTCTACCTGTCAGAAGACCCCTCGGGTAATGATTAGGCGAGAAAGCGTTTAAATATTGGTGAATGATGGGGTAACCTCTTGCACGGGTTGCAATATTAAGGACACTGTGGCGACTCTTTCCACAATCACAAGTGAATTGCACAAATTGGAAATGCTGACGGGAAGCATGCAGGAAACCGCTTCACACCCGCTGGAATAGGTGTATATAGGACTCACAGGGAGATTACATAAAAGGGCATTTTTACAGGGTCCATAATATGCACTTATGTTTATTTCATCACCTGAGCATCTAGGAGGATTCCATGAAATGCAGGAGGTAAGGAAATCAATACCTTAAGATATATTTGGGAATGCATTTCTGTCCACGTTAATCACGTAAAAATTGTATGCGGCGGAAATCCACTCGGTACAACTGTGAAAGCAGCGGATCAGACGGTGGACATTACTTGGTGGGGTTTCAAACTATGTTTTCAACGCAATGCGGAAATACAAAGCATGATATTTTCTCTTTCCCTTAGTTTCCACTGCTTGATCCAATGAGGAATACGCAAGTACCCGCATGAATCCCCTTCGTCATTCCACGTCAAGGGGTCAAATTTTCGCCAGGTTGGTTGCTGCAACGATTGGGACTTTGCTCTTAAAAATCATGTGTACCGGGGTTATGAGAAACGGATAAATCAAAAATTTTAGTTGCCTAGGGCCAACGGCCTTAGATAGTTGTTCTTTGAAAGTTTGAAAGGGAAGGATAAAATGACCCCTCAAACAAATGGAATATCTGCCGTAATACTTCAGCTATGAATAGGGATAATAGCTTATTTCGAAACAAGTGACCATGCATCTTTAACTTTCTCAACGGGTTCTTTCGTCCTTCCGATAGACACCCCAAAGCTGGTACAGTTATATGCATTTTTCGTGTGAATTTTTTAGAGCTGAAAATTTGATAGTTTCATGAACTTAATAAAACTATGACTTTTTACGATTAAGGCACGGAAGACAACGCAGAGAAAGTGAAATATGCTTCGCTACGCGCTTTGAAATGAGCTATCTTGCATTCCAATAGGGACTATGGGGAAATGCCAGATATTGCAGTCGGTTTCTCACTTTTTTTATTTTTCATTCCTTTTCTCCGCAGCAACCATAGCGACCGGACAATACGACCCAATGCGCACGCGCAGCTTTCCGTCTGGGTCGGGGTGCCCGACTAATAAGAAAACATCCACTTCCCCTCCGGTCGTGGCGGCTGACGGATACATAGTGCGCAATGCAGGAAAGCGGCTGCTCCAGGCCGCGTAGACAGGGTAGCTAGGCGTACGCATGAAATGCCGCAACTGGGATCCTACTCTTACTATTATCCTCCCATCTCCACGCGACGCGGACGCACTGACCATCGAGAACATTTCCAGACCTTTTCATATAGGCCTATGCCGAACCAACAACAACTATCATTTATTTCAAGGTTGGATGGTTAGGGTGCGATGAATATACATAATGATTCTAGTGGTAAAGGGGCCAAAGGAATGCCATATCTGTACATGGACTGGTACTGTCTAGCTAATCTAGTGGCAGATTTTTTTAGCAATTTTATTATTTTTTTCTCAAGCTGATCAGTCAATGAAGAATGAACTCTCCGCGTAGGATTATAAGTCTCTGAACCCCCAAAGGGAGAACAGTGACTCTGGGACTATACACCACCAGAGCCCGGCATCTTCCCAAAGACTACTGGTTCAATACTGTCCCAGGACGTCCAGAATAATCCTCGACGGAAAAAAATGCAGCAGCCTTCAGAAAACGGACACATCCATTTCCCGATCGTGTCTTTCGAGGGAGAAGCGTCTCCCTTCGCTGCATCCAAGTCCTCTTGGACTCGACTTAAAGTCTGCAATCTTACAAACGTGTTGAAGCTTGCAGATACCTTTGGAAAATTAGCTGATTCCGGGAACAAAACCAAGGTCACTTCAAATTTGTATTAAAACTTCAATATGCTGCTGACCTGAACTGTTAAAAAGTATAATCTGAAAACATAAACCATAATAACTAATTAAGAAGCAGTTGAGAGACAGGCAAGAAGTGATTCTTGAGATGCAAGCCTTACTTTCTCGACACCCTTCGTATAATCATTTTTAAATCGGAAAACCAGTGATGGTTCTCGTTTGTAAACAGTTGAAAGCGAAATATCAATACTTTTTACTTGACCATATACAGATATGATACTGCATTTAACACTTTCGCTGTTTAAAAAATAGCCCTTATGGCCTCCACTGTGTTATAAGAATTGCGCTGTGTCCCTGCGAAACGATGGTTTAAGTTTAAATTGTCCCATCTTGAAAACTATTGATGATAGACCAAAATGTGTTTTGAAAAATTATTTCCAGGAACAGCCAGAGTGTTATCAGAAAAGTGCACGAATTTTGAGATGCGTATAAATCCATTGACAGACTTGGTTTTACCAAAATCAGGGATAATAAAAAGTGCATCAGTTTCCACAGAAACTGAATAGAAGGCCGTATTGTAATGCCCATTAAAATCAGTGCCAAAATAAATGCACGAAATTCCTACACAGATAGGTTTCTCTTTTGTTTTACCTTTGAATATTCATTTAGTGTTGTGTTAAAAATAAGGTCTGATGCAATCTTCACTTCCCGTGACTTACGAGATAAATCCACGCTTCCCAGATTTTCCCAGAAAAAACACAGTATTATGAGGAAAACGAACTCCTGAACTCTTCGAATCGAAAAGACAGAAGCAGTCAGTATCCGTATCAGAATCAGCAATCAGGTGTTCCACGTCTGCAGTCCGCACGTGCAGCAAAAAATGTGCCAACACGGATCTGCAGGGCCGTGTTGACAGATGTTCTGGAGATCCGGGTTGTGAGCCGATGAGGATCCACAACCACGATGTCGTTAACTCTCAAAAAATACTCATCCCACTCGTTTATAGTGACGTGAAATATGCATGTGACATGTGTGGTTCTTCCTCGACCTCGGCGACGTGGCAGGCAACGCGGCAGGCAAGGCCTTCGTCTGATATAAATGAGCGACCCGTTAGCAAGACGAGGCACTCCGATCTTTTGACGGCGCAGTCTATTCGATTCCAACATGAAGTCCGTCGCAAAGGTGAGTGACGCTTATTTTGCTTTCTCCACAGTTTTGTCCTACGGACTCTTTCGAACATTGAGGAGTTTTCACGGCTCACGAGAGATTTGGTTCCTCTTCATCCAGCTGGTGACATTGGCGGTGACGTTGGTGGCTGCGTTGCGAAACACCCACGCCGCCCCGGTATGTATCCCCATACTCCATGAAATTAAACACTTGAGAAATTGCGAATAATTCTCGGCAATATATTATTAGTCATACTTTCTACGCCGAGTGCGTCGGTCTCGCACACAGGGCGAAGTCGAAAACGCGAATCATAAAGTTAGTGCTTTGTGGTTGAAAAAAAAAACAGACCGCCAACTCACAGTAGCCGCGATCTCCTCAATACAGCAACATTTACAAGCCAACAGCGAGGCTTCGAATCCATTCAAAGGCTCCCTCCCTCTCTCCTTCCCCCTCCCCCTCTTCCTCCCCCTCTCCTTCCCCCTCCACCCCCTCCTTCATCTCCCCTCCCCCACGCTATACCTCCCATGCTTACAAGGTATTCAACTGTTTTAGAGGCTGCATCCGTACCGTGCGGAGTTCCTTCATACGACACAGTACGCGATCATGAGGAATACTCTTCACCCAGAAAACTTCTCACACAGAGAGGTTTTCACAATGGAAACCTTCAATTTGGTTTCAAATAACCCGTTCCTGGCCCATGCAATCTTTTTATGGAAATATGTTTTTAGGATATTTGAATTTTTAGCATGGAATTCCTCAAATCGAAATGATTCTTTTTACCTATATATTATTTAGTAATACCGTAGTAATACTACGTATTACGTAGTATTTACTTACACGAAAATCCGCCAATCTCATTTTCTTATATCAATTTAATCAGACAGGCGTCCAAAAGAACCATCTACATAAGGGAAGCAATTTCCTCAAGTGGTAATAATGGAAACGGATTCCCACCGAACGGAATTCCTCGAGAATACGCACGGTTGAAGGGAATTTTGTCTATAAAACTTAATTCGGGAAAAATTCTAAACTTTCAAATCTTCCACCTCGTACGTCATTCAATAGATTTCTGCACTTACCACCAGGTCGGTGCACAGATCACGTTTCGTTTACTAATGGACTCTTAATCTCGGGCGTTTGGCGCGAAAAAAAATGTTTACTCCGCCTTCAGGTGACTGCTATTTCGTAGAAATATCTGAAAGACATTTCCGATCGTATTCCTGAATGGTTTGGTTCCGTAAGCGCCTACTCCCCTTGTGCCTATTTCCATTGTGTGCGACTCTGCCTACCAGAATTTCAGAGTCCCTTTATGCCAATCAGTGTCCCACAGCACCTACATATTTTGTAGCAGAATGCCTACGGAATCGAACCCATGAAGGTTGCATCGTGAAGATATCTGACCCTCAACTCTACCATTCCACCACAAGAGGGACATGTACCAACAGGCTATTTTGAAGCTGTATAGCTCCACTGTAGCAGTCATTCTCTATCTGCTGCAAGTTCATATGTAGAGGTTTTCCTCCCATTTTTGCATCATGATGATGCATCTTTGCCAGTACAGGTGAAACAACAAATTCATTTTCAATTGTTTTATTCCATTAATGTATGGGCATTGAATGGTACGTGTTCACGTACGACTCTTAACAAACATATCAGCGACCCAGTCCATGAATTCTCCGAGAGATAAAGCTGCTTGGACCAAGGCACTTTTGAGGTTCTTCAGCTGCACGTCCCGATGTCTCTCTTTCGCCTGGATGCCTGAGCTGGCTTGGAGCTTCTGGATTGCAGATTCGACTGAGGACTGCTCTTCCTGAAAGGTTCGGATAACCTGGAAAATACCAGGGTGCTTCTTTTTCAGAAGCTTGTTCATCTTCGAATGCCAACCTTTCACAGCATTTGTTGCCCTGTGTTGCCTGCTGTCAGCACGGTTCCATAAAGTTCCCCCGAATTTGGGGGACGTGTCATCTCCCCAGGTCTCTGTAAAGTAGTCAAAAAAAGTTCTCAGGCTCACTTCTTCGGTGCAGGTCTCCATCGCCAGTTGGATAGCGTCATCGAGCTTCGGTAAGGGAATGAGGGGCAAAGCCATGAAGCGCAGAAGGCATCGTCGGACGTCAGCGTTCGTCCCATACCGGGAAGAAAGTTCAAGATCCTGAATTTTCTTCCAGAGAGCACTTGTGAAGTGGAAGAAGCACCCCTTAATTGTTGTACAGGGGAGAGATTGAGAAAGCACATTGAGGATCGCACGCTCAAAATCCACTAACACACACTTCGGCTTTAGTTCAAGGCCATGCTGTTCCAAGATGTCGTTAACGATGCAAAAAGACGTCGATGGGTGCTCTCGGTTTTATCCGGCAGGAAAGCAGCCAGCATAGGAAATATCTTTCCCCTGAACTCAACAAGGACTGTATAGAGCTGGAAGAACAGTTTCGTGGACGCGTGGAACGTCCCATCCATGAAGATTTCCTCAGCATGTGCTATTTTCCAAAGGTTTTCTGCAAGCTGAAAATAAGTAGTATTCTCTTCGCTCCGCCTTCATCTCGTAAAAGGAAGGGACGGCCATCCAGGGTGAGCCGATAATCGGGTGGGATCTGGAGTTCTGCCCGTGACCTTGGCATCTTGGGAAAAGTGCTGGATCTGATTCGATAAAGAGTACTTTTCACCGTTTCGTAAGCTTGAAGCCATTCTTCCTTTTCAGGGTGTTCGGCTTTCACAGCCAAAAATTCCTCCCTATACAAGGTTGGTATGGGAGTGAGTTGGTCCCTTTTCACTCGCTCTTGGAATCTTGAGGCAAACCGAAGCCGATTGACATTGCCTTTGGGTTCTTCGTGTGCGTGCTTCCCGAAAGAGGCTTTCAGCAACACATCTTCGGTGATAGTGACCGTTGCATTGCAGCGAGAATTATGGGATTTCCAGTGAGACGTTTCACCTCGTCCTCTGGAGTATTGACGTCAGAAATAAATGCATGGGGTAAGAGTAATCAAGACAAGTTGAATTTCAGATGCACAGACTGTGAAAATGGCTTGAACCTGTTCAATCTGAAGCGATTTCCTTCATGGAGAAGATTCCATCCTCCTCGCAGACCCTCTAGAATTCGTACTGACGTGACGACGATCGAGACTGTGAGGTTCATCCGGTCAAGAAAGCCCATTTTATAGGACTTGGGAAGAAAACTTGTTCTGGTTGTGCCATCATGCCACAAGGTCATGGAGTTTGCAGGGCAATTTTAACGTTGACGTAGACACACTGGGAAATTCACCTCCGGGGGTTGACTTGTTATGCCACCACTTGCTTTCCGTCCCATTCCGGCAGGGACCGTGTTAATGGGCTCAGTCCCAAATGTACGCTGCCTGTACAGGCATTCATGAATTTCTGCACTGGGGGCTCTGTTATACCGATGAAACGACACCTGTCCGAAGTTGCCTCCCCGTGATGGGAAAAAAAAAACGTTGTGGCAATAAGCGACTGTTTCCCTTGGATTACTCGGCATATTGCAACTTTTTCTAGGTATAAGTATACGTTTTCGAACTGCGGCAGCGAGGTAGGCGTAAACCAACTATTTCGTCCGAGTAGGTACAATGGGAATAGGCAGCTCCGGGAATAAGCCTTCCCGAATGACAGGCAAGAAGACGTGTTACGAAAAAGTGATGCATAGGAATATACTCCATTCAATGATGTTCAAAAAGTTTCATTCGAATTGCAAAATGGGCGACGAGCGGGAAAATCCCAAGGTCACCTTCACAAAATCACCTACACGAGTTGGTGAGAAAGGACAAAATGAACAAAAGGACCATCAAGCACCGATGTAGAAGAATCCTTGGTGTGCACAGAGGAAACACTGAGTTAAAGGCATTCCATCATGAAAGAAACACTTCATCAATTAACATTGAGAAAACTTCATTCGTTGATTGCATCTTTTCAATTAGCACTTTCTAAGTCACTCTTTTGCGTAAAGAAAGTTGCATGTAATACGTATTCGCAACTGAACTTTCGTCATTCGTTTCTGCTTTCTTCTTTATGGCGTTTACTTAGCATCTTCAACTTTGAAATGTTTGCCTTTTTGTGCCTTTCAATATTTCCCATATCTCGGCTCAGGTGGCTTTCCACATTCCCCTCTGTTACATATGCATTTCTTCTACTCAACACTTAAAATTGCTGCCGATATAGCTTAACTAGCAATTCATTTTTTCTTTTAACTAATCCAAATGTACTCACCTCAACTGAACATGAGCCAACTCTCTCCCCCTCTCTCTCTCTCTCTTTTGCTCCTCAGTTTCGCAGGGGTTATTCCCTTTCTTTTCCATGGGTAAACCGAATTCGTACCATTTTTCCCTTCCAGTCAGATCCAAATTGCCCCACCCCATTCGACCTCGGTGGGACCCCAGGGACCAACAACTGCTACTCGTCCACACCGACCGACAACTGCGGCTCCGTCGACGGCTTCGGCGTGTCCGACGAGGAGAAGAGCATCATCGTGGACGCTCACAACCGACTGAGGACGAACGTCGCCACCGGCCAGGAGACGCAGGGCAATCCTGGACCTCAGCCGTCGGCCTCCAACATGCGACGAATGGTCACAAATTTAGATTCTTTTTCTAAATTCCGTTTCCCTGTAATTCTGAGACTAAGGTAAACTGTATCTCTCGCGTAACGCTGAATACAGTAAAGACGATATGCAAATGTTACAAATATTTGAATGCCCGAATACTTACGAGTACAAATGCACAACTTTGAAGCACCACCTGCTGCTGAGGTGTCATTTAAAGAAATCTCAGAAGCCATTACCCGAAACTCGACCAAGAAAGACCTAATTGAACTTGGGAACTCCCGATCCGATGACAGGTATGGGACGACGGGCTGGCGGCGACAGCACAGGGCCTGGCGAACACTTGTAACTTCGCCCACGATGACCCAAACTGCCGCACCTTCGCCTGTGAGTCTCCTCTCTCTCACTCTCTCTTTCTCTCTCTCACCGCATTGAGATGTTTCGTCGTCGTCCTTCCCAGCTTCCTTCGGGTCAGCCGGTCAAAACCTCTACTGGAGTTCCGGGTACGAGGGGACGCAGGCCGATTGGAATTCTGCCGTTCAGGCCTGGTACGACGAAGTCGGACAATACGACTGCAATGCCGTTAACCCTTTCCAGTAAGTCCCACTTCATACCATCGCTTTATCATCACTTCCGTTTAGATATGAGGCGTGGGGGGGATCCGCTCTGAGACGATTTCTTCCATGATGATCTTTTAAATCAGAAATTTGGAACGAGAATATCCAGATCGTATCATCGCGTGAATTCAATTCTAACTATGCCAATGAATTTAGATGCCGTTCTTCCTATAGACGTCATTTTGTCCACGATTAAGGGCTCTGCCATCCCAAGTGGCTATTCAGCCGCGACTCTAAAAGGGATTCTTGATTATTTCTGTGCACGAGACGTCGACAGCGTGAAGTGACGACGACTGAGAATTTATTTTGTCACGGTAGATTTACGGAGGCGACGGGACATTACACGCAAGTGGTGTGGGCAGACTCGTACGCCGTGGGATGCGGCTACGTCGCCTACGGGGGAGGAAGCAAGCTCTACGCCTGCAACTACGGGCCGGCCGGGAACGTGATGGGGCTGGGCATGTATGGCGTCGGGACGCCTTGCACCTGCTGCCAGTCCACCTGCTCCGATGGGGTGCTCTGCGACTGATTTCCTTTCCTTCCGTGATTCGTCGAGCGTTGTCCTGGATTTTCCCTCGAGGGATACAATAAATCGGACTCGCATTTCACTGTTATTTGCAACTTTCGTGGCCAACAATGTCTAGGACTGACGAATGATACACTAATTCAACGTTAATCTGGTCTCTGGAATGGAGGAGAATCCTGCTTTAGGAAAACGAGCATTAGCTCTTCCAGGAATTCATTTTCAGTATTCCCTCCGAAAGTTCCAGGATCGCATTAAGTTCAGATGAGCGCTTTTTGTAACATGCATGTACAAGTATGTAAAAAATCGTTTCCATATTGGGAAGTTAAAGAATGAAAAAGAAAAAGTAAGCATTACTTAAACATAATTGACCGGTAAATTACCGGTATATACTGGTATTTTAGCGCTGCTACTACGAGGTTACTGGAGCTTTAAGCAAAATGAAGAATTCCTTATCAGTTGAGAGTCCTAATATTATCTTCGACAGCCATACAAAGAAAAAAATAACACACCACTTTGGAAATTTGAGACAGAAAAGCCATACCAGAGAAATATGGCGATGTGGAAACAGAGGTTCCTGTAGCATTTTTTTCTTTTTCTGGCATGCTGAGCACTAAAAAAAAAAGAGGAAAAATCTGGAATAGGGACAAAAAGTATGGCTAAATATTCTTCTATATGAATACTGTAAAAGGCCTTTAGATTGCAGAAAACCTTACTCCCAAGTATAACACGCAAAAAATACCAACTCAATAGGGGAAATTCCAGTGACCATTTTCTGGAAGCAGATCTATGATAACTGCTCGGTCAATCCATGGGCTTTTCAAGTTACCCCTTGTCCGTACAATAGAATCTTCCTGAATGGTGGCTGGCCACTTATGGCTGTCAGCTCTATTGTTCTGTGCAGTTCTTCCTTTGGTCTTCCACGGCTCATTTCTGCATGTGCCTGGCATCTGAACGCACCACACTTGCTATCTACTGTAAGTCTCAAAGATTCCTTGTCTATTTCAAAAGAGCAAATCTGCATAATGCAGTACTATACATATGAAATAGTCCTGGGTTAGACCATGAATTCAGAAATTTTGACGCCAAGTATGTCTGAAAACATCATTACGTGGCCAATGCTGATAAATTGTGGTACTCCACCGTGCTGCTTAACCCTTTCAGGTTTAGATATCGTTGGTTCCATTTCTATCTTTCCTGATGGAAATATTTGATGCTTTCCTAATTTGCAAGGAATCGATTAAATCTCCAGGGAGGTTTAAAGCAAAAAACTGGAAGGCCTTCACCAATCATTTGCTTTCTCATGTTAGGCATGATTGGATTCAGTCCCTTTCTGCACTTACGCAAATTTTTGTACTGTCTAATTCTGAATTAACTGAGGAAAAAATTAAGGCGATGAAATTTCATTGGGACTGGAAAGGAAACAAAAAGGAAACTGGTAAAACAATGTCACAGCATCGTGGGAAAGTCACTGCGTTGCAAATACAAAAGGAAAGGAATGGTTCTGGACTGACACTGGGTCGACACTGGACGTGGATCTTTCCACTTCGCCGCTGGCTCGGCACCTGTCTGACAACCTGCGACATCTATCCTGAGAAGAAGAAAATGCTAGTTCTCCTTCGTGTCATAAGAAGGCGGGAAGCTTCTGCGGCCTCGAGCCTGCAGTTACAGCGAGAAAGCCGTCCATTTGCATATCGATCCGCCTCGTGGAGCGCATTTCTTCTCCCTCAAACGACGTTCGCATTCGCCAGGCGAACGTCGCGATGAGACGATTCCTTCCCCAGCGGAAGGGGAACCTCGCGTTCTTTCGCACAGCCTGCGCCGCGATAGAGACAGAGAAGAACGTCGCGGCAGAAATGCTCGTCGACGACCGGACCGAAATCTGCAGACGGAATAAGCACCGCTCCGCCTGTTTCGTGTGCGGTACGAGAATATGGATGAGCTGTGCCAATGGCATCGTTTGGCCGATTATGATGTCATGCCTATCGACCGATGCCGATTTTCACATTTGTAGGAGCAGCGAGGCACCATTACACCAAATATGCATCCAAATGTAGAAATGTGAAAACCATTATTCAAAGGTTATCCCTTTCTTCAACTCGACCTCAACCCCAACCTCACCTCCCACCTCCCTACTCTACGGAACCCAGTAACGTTAGGCCTAGTGTAGCGCTCCTTTTTCTCCTTATGGTGTTTTTTTATCCAAAATATAATGGTAGGAGCGCTGGTGGGAGCTGAGAGATTGTAGGCTCAGATCCCTGGAGTATCTGGCAGGTTGAGTGTCTTAAGGTACACGGCCTGGGGTTCCTAAAGAACCCTTTACTCAAGGATCATAGGCCCTTTACAAACAGTTCAAATAAATAGATGAAAATGCCCATAAATAACTTTAAATTTACTCTTGCAAGATGGATAAAATATATTAGGATTGCTTTCTCTAAAAAAGTTGTAAAAGTTTAAGATCACAAAATAAAAAATCACAAGGACATATCACCTAACCCTAACTTGACAGGATTTGGGGGGAGAGTCCGGCCGATAAGGCAACTGGAGTCTTTACCCCGGGAGGGTAGAGCAAGAAGGGAAAGGCATAAAATATTGGGAGGTGTTGGGCCGCAGAGAGGATAGGCCGGTCGCCCTTGCACTTCAAAGTTCTATAAAAGGTCTCTGTGGTAGCTGACCGAGGAGATGTAGTTGTAGAGTCTAGCTGGAAGATCGAAGAAAGGGTCTCACGCCACACAGCCGACGAACACAAAGCCAAGTCCTCTTGCCTCCACGCAGGTCCAAAACACCCTCCCGGAAAACCTTCTTCCCCGCTTCCTCGATTCTTCTCCCCGGTTGCCCGATCCCCTTCTTGTTACACCATTTTAACTTTCGGATCTTTCACAGTTTCATGACATAAATTTAAAGGTTGCTTTAAAGTTACATAGAGTGTGTGGCAATATTAACCACCATTCACTACTTGAAACTTAACAAATGAACTATTTCAAAACCAAACGATGCCGGTTATAAACATGGCGAAGTCCACGGTCTTGCAGACCGGGACCGCGGGTCCGGGAAAAAAGTGGCTAGATTTACACTAGGCCTAACCGACGGTCTATCTTCGGGTCCAGGCCTACCTTTTCCGTTCAAAAGAAACTGAATTCTCGACAGACTGGGCCAATTAGGCCTATAAGGCTTAATCCCCTGTCTTCCAGGCCTCTCATCGAGGACCTGTACCGTTAGGCCAAACGAACGCAGGCCCATTTTGTATCTCGTGGCCCTTTTAAGAGAGTGCGCGTAACGTGAGATCGATTAGAGGTCAATTTCAAGTTTCATGAACCATTTCAGTGCGGACGAGGAACCTTAGGCAATATTTAAAGTTCCTCCTGCCGACTCGACGAGTTCTGAGAAGAAAATGCCTCCAGGAAACATGAAATACAATGTGCGCGCCATTCGGTTAATTCAGGGATGTCCGATTGAGATCTGTGAAAATGCCACCAAATCGATCGGCCACTGCTAGCCACCGTTTCTATCTCGGCTCATCAAATAAACTCGACAACAAATTATCTCAAACATATATTAACTGAAGATCCCAACTCCGATACTAAGACCGAAGAAGTCATGAATCTGGAATTACAAAGGCACTATATCCGGCAACACTGGAGGACGAGATCGAAGCCAGAGACATGGTAAATATACTTTGACTGGACATAGCGGTCGAAGATCTCACGCCAATTTCAAGGGCTGGGGGACCTTACCCAAGCAGCATGTTTACGTAAACATGATGTCAATTTTTTTCAAACAATGCAAATTTCTTGCGATTGCCATGAAAATGACATCACGTTTACGTAAAATTTACGTTCCTATATTTACGTCACCAAAGTGCCCGTGTATTTTACGTAAACTAGACGTCACTCCATCTGACGTGAAGTACACGATATCAAGTTTATGCAAAGTTAACATCACACTTTCCATATGTAACTTTAGCTGACCATCCCGCAGTTGCAATACTAAGATTCCTCACTAGATGGAACCCTTGTTCCCTGCACCCTATAATTACTATTAAGTACTGGCTTTCCCGATATAGTATCATGTTTTCTTACCATCCATTTACTTTTTATTACGCAATCCATGAATATATATATGGAAAGCAGGAAATTATTACATATTTTTAATAATATATGACTCAGAGAATCATTAAATGCTGAAGGTAAGCTTGTTATTACAGCAGTGCACGGGATCAGGGAAGAGTAGAATCCCAGTTTCGCACGTACTAAGCCTTCTCTATCCTTCGTGGAAGAGAATTTCCCCTAACATCTATTTCATCTTCCGAGGTCCTGGTACGGGAGGAGGAACTAGTGAGTCATCTTGGTACTCTTGAGTGCTGGTGAGGATGAGTACTTGTGTACTTGTCCAAGTAAAGGTTCCAAGGTATGGAAAAGAATGGGAGAAATACAGTGAATCAATTCCCTTCAAAAGTACGAATTAGCTCGTTAAATACGCATTAACGCTAGGGGGAAATCAACATCAATGTTACGTAAAATTAATGTAGAAATGCTGTTGGGGATGTAAACGGGAATGTCGATTTTACGCAAATTTTTATATAACCGTTTACGCATTCCAGAGGTGACATTTTTGCAAACATGTTGACATCATCTTGATGATGGTTTGCGTAAAATAGATATAAAATGGACAAAAAATTAACATTCAGTTTACGTAAAATTAACGTAAACATGCTGCTTGGGTACTGATGGCGTCAACGCGACGATGAGCATGGCATTCGCCGAGGCACAAGGTAGTCGTGGCTCAACGTCTTCAGGTTTTGGATGCTGTGAAAGGCTGGGTGGGGTATCACGTCTTGCGATCGTGAATCGGCTGGAGAGATGTTCACTCTGTTGCGGGGTCTAACCGCGGGGTTTTCCTCGCCTCGTGTAGACCCTGGGTCTCACTGCATGGGAAACTGATGTTGCACCCTCACGTTACGAAGTGCAACGAAAATAAAGGCGACTTCTACCCACAAAAATGGAAAAAGGTAGCATTGATCAAATTTCAAAATATCAATGAAGACCAGGTAGGCCTAGGCCTAGTCCTACCTGGTCTTCGCGGAGAACGTCAAAACTCACAGTGGAGTGTGACGTCACGAATCGAAAGCCATGCGTATATCGGGCGGCTTGACGCCACGAGTCACGGCGGCCGAACCTTCCAAATTGGCTTGCGGCCATCGGGGCGTTCTCCGTTGGCCCGTCCAGTCTAGGTATGTTTACCGAAGCCGAAGCCTATATTAACGGCATCTAATTTCATTCCTTTTTGTTTAAGGGGAAATGATGCACTGGAAGCAACAAAAAGGACGCTTTTCGTCTCCTACGAGTCGATGTCTTTCGTTTCGTCGGTCACCTTCCACCAAAAATTCCCTGGAGTGGCGACACAGGAGAAGAAAAAAAAAATACGGTAACGAAATCCTGATCGAAAAGCGAGATGGAGCGATCCTCACAACCCTGGGAAGATGGAACTTCAAATTTTCTTGAGCCGTTCTGCGTTGCGAGAGAAAGAATTTTTCGGAACTTCGTTCCTGTTGATGCTCTCAGAGAGGAATACCAGGCGGTTCGATTTTATCGCCGGAAGGGGTCGATAAAAGGTGATGGGCGATACGAAAGGCTATCGAGAGACCTACGATATTAAAATCGAACCATCATCGATTTTTCCCAACATCGATGTGGGCGATAAACCTCCGCTTAGTTAGAGGGTAAACCTCCACCTTCCTAAAATGGAATCTTCGGCACCGTGCGCAAATAGCTGCATGGTGTGAATTGCGGAGGCGGAGGTGAAGATGGCAAGTTTCGTCCGGAGCATTCTCCTTCCACCACCTCCTCTGGACCGCGATGGAGGTCCCGACGAACGGCGTGCACTCGTGGACTTTACACGACGAGCGCCCTTTCGCTTTCCGCGCGGGAGCGACCTGCCCTTTCCGCCGACGCCATCGCGAGGCGCCTCTCGGCGATTTCTCTTTGCCCGCTGGGAAGCCGGGCCTCGCCGATGCCTTCCACTCGGATCCCCCGACTCGCGACTCTCCTCCCTCCCCGTCTCGTTTCCACGATCTCCTCGAGAACAACGAAACCATCGATCCCAGTGGATCTGTTTCGCGGGATCGTCCGAAAACGCCGACCTTCGGGTGTGGACACCTGCGATCGACGGAAGCACTTCCTTTGGGGATGGGGGAGGGAAATAGGAATTCCACCGGAAAATAGTTCTCACGTCGCGGAACTCTTCTTACATCGGTCGGCCGTCGCGAGGGGATGCGTCTGTGGCACACGAAATGGACGAGTGAATTCCTGCTACTAGTCATAAACGTCTTCCTTGACGCGAAAAAATATTTCGGAGGGGTTTCTCGACCCTCATGCACAAGAGAACACCCGAATGGAACCAAATGCCAAATGCCAAAATGTCGATCGGCTCGGGACGTCTTTGAAGTCAAACGACTGCTCCCGTCATCCCAAGAAAAATTCAAGTAAAACTCTCTCTGCCTATGAACTTCTCCATCCGAGATCATAGCAAGTACCATCCGGTAAATGAATTCCAAGGTAGTGAGATCCAACATTTCTATTCGAGTCGTACAAATGTAGAAAAGAGACAAGAGATTCGGGCAAAGATGGACGGTTGTGGAAGCGCCAGAGAGAATCGGTGGACTCGATCGCACCGTCGGGAACGACCACCACATTCGATGCATGGAAGGTCTCGCCCCGTTTCCGCCATCGATCCGGTCTCCCACGACGCGAACGAGGCGATCCGCGTCCTTCTCGGTTCCTCCGATGGCTGACGGTAGCACCAGAGTCTCCACCCGGAGGGGAACGTAGCAGAAGCAGCACCCGAGCATCGTCACCCGTGGGAAGCGGTTGCCGTCGGTCGTCGACCCCACCGACCCTTTCCCTGACCCTGTTTCGGAGGAGAAACGGGAAACCGTGAAACCGAAAACGTCTAAACGCTGGACTTTAGCCGCACGAACGGCACATCGGAACGAAACCATCGACTGGAAATAAACGAACGCGTGGCACGACCACCGAGGCAAACCGGTTTCTTACACCTAATCGTTCCAGACGAAGAAAGAGAAGGCGCATCGCCCAACGGAGTCAGGCGAGCATGGGAGCCAGATGCGGGAGGAGGATGGACGCGAACCGGGCCAGGGTCCCGGCCCTCGAAGACACCAACTCCTCGCCGTGATGCATCAGGGTCGAGATCGGAACCGCCATCGCTCCTGCAATCGAAAACACGCACGGAAGTCGGAACGAGGTCAGACGAACGGTGCAAACATCCAAACGAAACGAAACTCGTTCGAAACCCAGTCTCTTCTCCTCGTCGAAATGCAACACCCCAAGTACGATTCGTTCTTTTATATTTGCATTTTAATCGATCTCGAGAACCACGAGTATACACAGACCCGTCTTTGAGTCCCAGAGGACTTCCTGAACGACGGCCGAATTCTCGGGATTCACCCTCAGGATCTGGGCGAGGATGGCCAACGTATTCGCAGAGATCCGCGGAACGTCCCGTCCCGCCCGACACCACGTGGACGTCACCAGACGCCGCACGGTGCCGTACGCATTCATGACGCAGACGGCATCGCAAAGCGCCACGGCGAACTCCGCGTCCAGATGGACGAGGTGAGACAGGAGCTCCACCAGGTCCTCCAGCGTCTCCCACTCCTCGTCGGTGGGCTCCGACTCCGCCGACTGGAGGACGTGGCGGGCGGCGTAGAACAGGTTGGCCACCACCCTCGAATCCAGGTACGCCTGGATCACCTTCTCTCTCGATTCGTGAGTGCACGGGTGCACCAAGGGGACGGAGAACAACAGGGCGATCCGGGACACCACCTTTGGGGACACCTGAAACGGAAAGAATTTCAAGAAAGAAAGAAAGAAAGTGAAGCAAAACGCATCGGGTGAAACAAACCAGTCACCACCGTGCCGAGAACGAAGCAAAACAGAGCGAAGAAGACAGATAGCCCCGGAGTTCTAAGGTAGCCAAAGAGGCTAGTCTAAGCGAGCAATTCGCATACCCATTTCACAAATTACAAAATGAGGATACCCATTGTAGGATGCCTCGGCCAAACCAGTGAAGAAGACAGACAGCCTAAAAGAGTTCCCAGTGATACTAAGGTCAGGAATCACGATCACACTCAAAATTGAAATGAAGAAGAATGTATCATACATATATTTGAGTGCAGTTCCAAGTCTACCGAGTCGTGCTCTCTTTTATGGCAATAAATACATCGACTGCAATCCAATAGACTTCTGCAACGTACCTTCCATAGAAACAGGTTCCAACCCAAACCCTCAAATGCACGAAAAACCATCGACGTGCAAAGAAACCCCCACCTGCGAGCTTCGCAGCGGGCCGAGGAGCACGGCCAGGAAACTGGGATCGGCCAGGTTCTCCACGGAGCCCAGGCACTCGTCGAAGGTCTTGCGGAGGAAGCTGAGCCACTCCTCCGTCTCCACCGCCTTGCTGTCCCCGAGCCCGAAGCTCCTCAGGGTCAGGGCGCCCATGCTCGCCTCGATGGGGTCCAGGGTTAAAAATTTTCATATTGCCCATTTTGCCGCCCACGGGAAAAATGCCCATTTTGGCGATTTTGCGATTTTTTCCCGTTTGCCGGCCTCCGTGACCAAATTGTAAATCCAAAATTTGAAATAAAAATGGCAAATTTGGTGCAAATTCGTCATAAAATGAACTCAGCCTGTATCTTGTTCATATCTATCCGCTTGTCAATTTTCGCATTGAACAGGCCAACATTGTTTAGATATCGTCGGGCAACCAAACTGTGACACACGGACGGGACTATGAGTGGTCTCTTTCCTTTCAGGAAAGGAGGCCCACTAGAAAGAAGAGAATCTCGACGAAAAGAAACAAGCACGAAAGGTATAAAAAGGAGAAGCAAGCATTACTTTGGGCGGTTGAGAGATCTGGCCTCCAGGTCCCGACGTTGTGCCTCTCGCTTCATCTCCTGGGATTCGGACAGTGGGAATGTCAAGGGTGCACCGGGTTCTGTCGAGAACACGAGGGAAAAGCAAACATTCAAAAACTTTCATACGGCAGCCGTTTTAATAATTCACCCGACGCATCAGCTGTCATCTGCAATCATGCATAGGCCAACGTTCTTCTTAATCTATGAAACAGAGCAAGCATGGAAACGGCTCTATCTTATGAGAGCTTATTTATTTTTGCATACCCTTCTCAAAAGTGTGCTCTAGCTCCCAGACTCATCAGAAAGACCAAATTGAGCTTCACTGCTTCACACCACCATCATGTTACAAATACCATACAAAGCACCGTGAACCCATTCGGCGCGACCGACAACACCAGACGTCAACCCACCCCCATCAAAGGAGAGCTTGACGCGATCGCAGACGAACGGATGGTGCAGGAGGTGCGGCCAGGACAGCCGCCGATCNGTGATGCATCAGGGTCGAGATCGGAACCGCCATCGCTCCTGCAATCGAAAACACGCACGGAAGTCGGAACGAGGTCAGACGAACGGTGCAAACATCCAAACGAAACGAAACTCGTTCGAAACCCAGTCTCTTCTCCTCGTCGAAATGCAACACCCCAAGTACGATTCGTTCTTTTATATTTGCATTTTAATCGATCTCGAGAACCACGAGTATACACAGACCCGTCTTTGAGTCCCAGAGGACTTCCTGAACGACGGCCGAATTCTCGGGATTCACCCTCAGGATCTGGGCGAGGATGGCCAACGTATTCGCAGAGATCCGCGGAACGTCCCGTCCCGCCCGACACCACGTGGACGTCACCAGACGCCGCACGGTGCCGTACGCATTCATGACGCAGACGGCATCGCAAAGCGCCACGGCGAACTCCGCGTCCAGATGGACGAGGTGAGACAGGAGCTCCACCAGGTCCTCCAGCGTCTCCCACTCCTCGTCGGTGGGCTCCGACTCCGCCGACTGGAGGACGTGGCGGGCGGCGTAGAACAGGTTGGCCACCACCCTCGAATCCAGGTACGCCTGGATCACCTTCTCTCTCGATTCGTGAGTGCACGGGTGCACCAAGGGGACGGAGAACAACAGGGCGATCCGGGACACCACCTTTGGGGACACCTGAAACGGAAAGAATTTCAAGAAAGAAAGAAAGAAAGTGAAGCAAAACGCATCGGGTGAAACAAACCAGTCACCACCGTGCCGAGAACGAAGCAAAACAGAGCGAAGAAGACAGATAGCCCCGGAGTTCTAAGGTAGCCAAAGAGGCTAGTCTAAGCGAGCAATTCGCATACCCATTTCACAAATTACAAAATGAGGATACCCATTGTAGGATGCCTCGGCCAAACCAGTGAAGAAGACAGACAGCCTAAAAGAGTTCCCAGTGATACTAAGGTCAGGAATCACGATCACACTCAAAATTGAAATGAAGAAGAATGTATCATACATATATTTGAGTGCAGTTCCAAGTCTACCGAGTCGTGCTCTCTTTTATGGCAATAAATACATCGACTGCAATCCAATAGACTTCTGCAACGTACCTTCCATAGAAACAGGTTCCAACCCAAACCCTCAAATGCACGAAAAACCATCGACGTGCAAAGAAACCCCCACCTGCGAGCTTCGCAGCGGGCCGAGGAGCACGGCCAGGAAACTGGGATCGGCCAGGTTCTCCACGGAGCCCAGGCACTCGTCGAAGGTCTTGCGGAGGAAGCTGAGCCACTCCTCCGTCTCCACCGCCTTGCTGTCCCCGAGCCCGAAGCTCCTCAGGGTCAGGGCGCCCATGCTCGCCTCGATGGGGTCCAGGGTCGCGGCCTCCACCAGGCGCTGGTTCCCCGCCGCCGTCACCGTCCCCTCGTCCTCCGACGCCCGCTCCGTCTTCTCGTCCTCCTCCGTCTTTCCTCCGTCGTCCGACCGAGCGGCGGGCGGCCCGTCCGTGCGTTGCGCCCGCAGGTCGACCACTTTTGCCATGGCCTTTACCAAGATCCTGGAGGGGAAAAAAATTGCCCAGGATGATCGCTTCGGTGTATAAAAAACAAGTTGGGCGAGCCCAGTCCAGTAGTGGGCCTCCTCTCGGTTAAGGAAACCCTCCCTTTGTAACCTAATTGAGCAAAATGCCATCTCTTTCCGGTCTTCGACCATCAAATGCCTCATTTCTCATGTATATTCGGGAAACATAGGCAAACGGTGCCCATGAAACGGTGATGGGAGGATGGAGGGCTGTGCGTGGTTGGTTCCATCCGCCACGAAGGTCGGTAGGGAACTGACAGCACTAGTTGCTGACACGGCGCCGCGCCCAGAGCCTGGGTCGTATGCGCATGCGCATTGTGGTCCAGAACCTCAAGGGCCCACGGGTACGAGTGCCTTCCCTTCCGTGACCAAATTGTAAATCCAAAATTTGAAATAAAAATGGCAAATTTGGTGCAAATTCGTCATAAAATGAACTCAGCCTGTATCTTGTTCATATCTATCCGCTTGCCAATTTTCGCATTGAACAGGCCAACATTGTTTAGATATCGTCGGGCAACCAAAGTGTGACACACGGACGGGACTATGAGTGGTCTCTTTCCTTTCAGGAAAGGGGGCCCACTAGAAAGAAGAGAATCTCGACGAAAGGAAACAAGCATGAAAGGTATAAAAAGGAGAAGCAAGCATTACTTTGGGCGGTTGAGAGATCTGGCCTCCAGGTCCCGACGTTGTGCCTCTCGCTTCATCTCCTGGGATTCGGACAGTGGGAATGTCAAGGGTGCACCAGGTTCTGTCGAGAACACGAGGGAAAAGCAAACATTCAAAAACTTTCATACGGCGGCCGTTTTAATAATTCACCTGATGCATCAGTTGTCATCTGCAATCATGCATAGGCCAACGTTCTTCTTAATCTATGAAACAGAGCAAGCATGGAAATGGCTCTATCTTATGAGAGCTTATTTATTTTTGCATACCCTTCTCAAAAGTGTGCTCTAGCTCCCAGACTCATCAGAAAGACCAAATTGAGCTTCACTGCTTCACACCACCATGTTACAAATACCATACGAAGCACCGTGAACCCATTCGGCGCGACCGACAACACCAGACGTCAACCCACCCCCATCAAAGGAGAGCTTGACGCGATCGCAGACGAACGGATGGTGCAGGAGGTGCGGCCAGGACAGCCGCCGATCCGGGTCCCGCTGGAGCAGTCCCTCCAGGAACCCCCGGCACTCGGGCCCCAGGACGTCCTCCCCGGGCCAGGGGATGGCCTCCCCCGTGATCTTCTTCACCAGCTGGATGATGCTCGTCGTGTTGAACGGCGGGGAGCCCGTCACCAACTCGTACAGGATGCACCCCAGAGACCTGGCACCCAAAGTGCGTGACATCACGGGAACAGTTCCAACAACTGCTTCTTTTTTTTCCTTCTCTAAAAATTAGTTACTCTGGATTCAAATTCCCCAGATGTCTCCAAACTGAGTTTACATCACCCATTTTGAGGTAGATGAAACTGCATACCAAAGGTCAGCATTGTGGTCATAGGGCTTCTCCTCGATGATCTCCGGAGCCATGTACAACGGGGTCCCTTTGATCGACGTGAGAAGGAACGTGTTGAGACTCATGCAGCGTGCGAAGCCGAAATCGCACAGCTTCGCCTTCCCATCCTGCCCCACCAAGATGTTGGCTGGCTTCAGGTCCCTGCACAGATCGAATCATCGTGCTCATTAAAATGGGTATAAACCAAATACCAACCCAATGTTAACGAGAAGAGCCATTCCAGAGAGAGTCAGCAACCAGATGGGAGTCTCAAAAGTTGAGGTTTGTGTAATGATATTAATTCTTTCCAAGCACACATACCATTATGCTGCTGTTTCGTCCTTAAGAGCAATAAATAAAAGAACCGCTGAGCTTTCCTTTGTACCATTATTGCTGCAGGAGGGACCCCATTTCTCCCATCTTTATTTGGGGTGCAATCCTGCTATGGTTGTACAAATGCTGAAATCATAGCAAAGTTTCTAAACACTGCTGACAAATTTACGTCCACGGGACAACGAGCTGCCGCAAAATCGGGAAGGGAGCGACTCACCGATGCAGGATGCGGTGCGAATGGAGATAGTAGAGGGCAGAGACGAGGTCGCCGGCGATCTGTCGGACGACGTCCTCGCCCAGCCGCCCCTCCCGCTCCAGCAGCTGGAACAGCTCCTTCTCGGCATACTCCATCACCACCACCACCTGATGCCCCCGGCAAGTGCAAGACCCGAGACTCGTCATTCCGTGCACGCAGAGGCAGATCATGGCACGAGGATATTCTGCTAGGCATTACGAAAGCCAGGTGCGTTTCGAGCAACTCTTGGTTATTTTCCAGTCGAGTGCTGGTATTCAACATGAAACAAAATTACCAGTGACATACGGTCACGTTTTCTTCTTCTTAGTTCATTTCAGCCCTTAATTGACTTCAATTTCTCCTCCTGAAAGAAGGCACTTGAACATAGATGGCATACTTCTAACTATGGTTAGAAGAAAAAGAAAGGTCTGCAAGTTTTTGGAAAGTCAAAGGAAAAAAAAGGTTCCAGATAGCTCCAAAATATTTCAGGTACAAAATACAGCTAAGAAACTACTTACAAGCTCGTGATTCTCTGAGCATTTCTACCTCTGTTGGCTATGGAAAAAAAACCCTCCCAATTTGCACGCAATGCTGAGGCTCTAGTAGGTTGTCCATGCAAATGAATACTCGCAAACAGGACAGGAATTTAAAATTAAATCACAGAAAAATGTTGGCAGATGAAATCTGAAGAGCATTCCCGGAGGAAATAATGTAACTTCCTGTATGCTTCATTCCACCCGTACATAAATCGAGAAAATCTGAAGAAAAGAAAAAGCCCTTTTTTTTCCCCTCAGAAAGGGAAAAGCTGACCTCAGAGGACGTCTCGAAGGTGTGCATGACCTGGATGATGTTGGGGTGCCTGAGGGTCTGCAGGATCTCGCACTCCCGCTGCAGGTTCTCCAGCTCCCGAGCCGTCTTCCCCAGCTGCGATCGGATGCCGTTGCCCGTTAGCTTTCGCATGCAGTCGTGTCCACAAATACAATATTGTCGTGGTGAAATCCGAGAAGGATGGTAAAATGTAAAAAAATATTTCCTAATTTATATGAAGTACTTATAAATTTTCAAAGTTAAATCTCGTGCATCATAGGAACAAAGATTTCCATCTTGACTGATAAAAAAAATGCAATTCCAGTTACTGCAGGTCCCTAGTCCTCAATTACGAAAACAGCATGAGGCTGAGAATCACCGTATACTTTTTTTCCACGAACAATAACCTCCCCTGATCGCACAATTGTCTCACAAAGAATGCATTCAAACTCTCCTATTGGAACTTTTCCTCTTTCCATTCCCTTTCACTTATCACAATCTATATATACTGTATATATATAGCCGATCGTGACTGAGTGAGTGACCGACGCTAATTCTAAACATGTTCTAGAGAAGTTAGAGATCTGAAACTTTGTTCAAAATTAGCATTTGGGATGTAGAGTTCAGAAAAAATCCGACTCTGGAGGTGCATCCCCGGGGCACAAATTTCAGGGGGAGATGTTTTCCAATTGTTTTTTTTTTTTTTTTTTACTTCAGTCAAACGTAGAAACGCAGAAAACTTTGCATGAACGCAACTACTGAGCCAAGGAGTTCAAGAAAAAACGTCTTTTTTGCGATGCATCACCTGGGGCATATCTTTTCGGGGTGACGTGTTCGAAGAACTTTTTTTCCTCCTAGCGAAAAGGGCAGAAACAGAAAGGTGAAACTTGGCTCAAGCATAACTGGGGCGATGTTGAATTCAGAAAAATTCAACTTTTGTGTGCATACCCTTACGGCTGAGCTTTTGCTGGGTCGGCTTTTTCCAAATATATTTTTGCGCCAGCGGAAAGAGGAAACAGATAAGGCTGAAACTTGGTAGACACGTAGTTTTCCGAATACTTATTTCGGTAAAAAAAAAAAAAAATATATATATATATATATATATATATTATATATATTAATTTAAACCCCTGAAGGCCCTTTTTTATGCAAAAGGAAAATTTTCCAGAATCTTCTTTGATCCAAAGTAAGAGAGAACTGAAGTAAATTCAAATTTGTAGCAGAAGTTCCTGTTCGATGGCTGAGTGCAAATCCGACTTTTCAAATAATAATCTCAGGCCAGATCATACAGACTTAAAGTTAGGCATACAATAAATAATCGGAGTAATTATTTGATGAAAATATAGGTTTGTCCCCCCATGGCACATATTCCGACAGGCACACAATTTTCCTACGTTTTTGCCACTTCAAAAATTGAATTAATGAATCACTAGCCTGGACAATGAGCACCGAAAGCGCGACCATAGCTAATTTAATATATAAATGCTCTTTTCAGCTGAGTTGAAAATCAATTCCACCATTCTATTGATGATTCTCATGATAGAACAACTGTCTATGATGAAACATAGGGTACACTCTCTGCTGCACCACCAGATGGGTCAATGAAGTTGCCTTCAGTCATACCAGAAAATATAAACAACAAGCTACTCTCACTGAGCAGACGATGAAAAGGAACACAAAGAAAATGGAAAATATTCAAGGTGAATTAGGGAGAAAAACTAAACAAAGGGATTAGCTACTCAAACCGAGGAACAAATGAAGTCATTAAATAATTTTATATGTGCCTCTTTTCTATTTTCTTTTCTTTTTGGCAAGAGAAACAGGTGACAGAGACGACCTTGCGGATGAGCTTGAGAGCGAGGATTTGCCCCGTGGCCTTGCTCTGGGCCTGGAAGACCCTGCCGAAGGACCCCTCCCCGATGACCTTGATCACCTCGTACCCTTCCACCTTCGGGTACATTCCTCCGGCTTGCAGGTCTGCCTGCTGTTCTATGGGTAAAATTCCTTCTATGTCAAGTCAGTGGACAAAATCGACTCTCAAGGCCCAGAAATCCACAGAGAGCTGTTGAAATCTCATTGGTAATATTTTTTCTTTCCTCCTGTCCTCTATACTCCCCAAAAAACAGGAATAAAATTAAAGTGAATCAGGGTATTAATGCACTTTGACATGAGATAGCATGCAGCACACCCCATTTGGGGCTGTTGCTGCCTTCTCCTTTTTGGGACAGGACAATCTGGAAGTGATCCCATCTAAGTTGCTTGAAGTGATTTTATCGGTCTCACTTTTTCCAGTTGCACTTATATTTGAAATATTACTCACTCAATACAGAGAATCATTTGTGACCACAGCTGCCAGGGGACCCTTGGCATGCAGCCTGATAAGACGCTGCACTGGTTTAACTAAAAACTTGAAGAAAAAAAATTGAAAAACCAAAGAAATCATGCTGTCGTTCACATCGGGATGAGGCTTCCGTAGTGGGCAAGCCTGTGAAATGAATACCTTCACCCTCCATAAAAGAAATGGGAATACCAGCAGGTGCTTTTATCACATGAAAACCTAACCCATAATGGGAGAGTATAAGTAAATAAAGAATGTCCAAATTAAAAGTTTAAGACAAATTCAGATTCAATTCATGAGACCAGACCCATGATTTAGCAGCATATGAGATAATTGGTGGGGTAACAGTGGGATCTGCACGATCAAGGTGAACGTTTTCGACGATGCTTGTCGCGATGGGAGTGGCGGTCCTGCCGATCCTCGAGGTGGCGCCCGTTATGATCTCTGTGGTGGCGGTCTTGTTGATCCCTGCGGTCACGGTCACGTTGATCTCCGTGGGAGTGCTTGCCATGACGACGACGCGAGCGGGAGCGATGACGGGACCTCGATCTCTTCTTCTCCCTCCTTCCCTCTCTCTCCCTGCTCCTCTTTCTTCTTTTATGCTTCCAGTTCTCTTCTCGTTTCACCTCTTGGAGACCGTCGTCTTTGACCACAAGATGGGGAGGAGTACGCAGCGGAGCGGCATCTGTTGCCGGAGGGACTTCCGGTGGAGCGCTCATCGCCTCATCTTCCTCCGGGGGAAGGCCCAGCCATTCCCTCAGGGCTGCCGTCTGATTTGCTATAACCTCTCGTAAGACCTGCACATACATGTGAAGCGTAACAAAACTCCCACTATTCCACAACACCAAACAGGAATGTCAAGCTGAACAGTGCAATTGACTGGAGCAAAAAGGTAATATAACCAAAAGTTGAGCAAATCAGTTTGGGTAAGATGAAACAATCCAGATAAAATGCATCAACAGGAAGGTTCAGTGCACAACAGCCATAACACTTGAAATTGTTGAATAATTTTATGAACAGTAGCATTGAAAAACTAATTTTACATATTTCTCAAATAGTTGATTTATCTGAAAAATGTATTCAGTGCAGAGCAATAAGGAATTTTTGAACATGCTGGAATAGCAGAAATATTGGAAACCAGCTCAACAGTCTATTTCTCACATTTGCTTCTCACACTTCTTTGTCACATTCTCAACTGGAATAAGCCAAATCTGTGTCACCCCTCACTAAAGTTGCACAGTTGAGCTTCTTCTCCACCAGAGAAGAGCACCACACTCCAAGAGGCAGGAAATCAAGCCAATTTTTTTTTCCTTCCTTTATGGGCATTGGCCATTGTTGAAGGAGTGAAGCAGATTTGGTGAATCAACTCAGAAGGGAATATAAAGAGTTTTGAAACATGAACTATTATCATAGATATTATCATCATTCACCATAATTTTAATTATAAAAACATGATAAATAAATAACAAAACGAAGAGAGATATCATGATTAGAAGTATTTAGCATTGAGACAGAGTACCAGACCTCATAATGATTCTTCTTGTTGGTGTGAACCTTCTTGCGATAGGAGACGCGTCTGCGCTTCGCGTCTCGCAATGCCTTCTCCACCTCCTCTTCTGTCATCTCTCGTTTCCCTGCTGTCTTCTCTCCACCCAGTGATAGATCTTCGAGGTCATAACTCAGCCCTGCAAAGATCACAGATGACTCTTGTGGGTGTTGGAATAGAGCAAAAATAACACTTCTGCATTGGTGATCATTCAATGAATGGAAAGTGCCTGCCTTTCTACAATAAACTTGTCATCAGATCTCTCTGATGGCTGCAACATCAGGCTAAGCTGAAACCATGGGGGGGGGGGGGAAAATTTTAAATCATGAAACTATACATCGTTCCACCATAAGCAGAGACTGGTGTCAGAAGTAGAGATCCACTGGAGAACTAACAGACCTTTTGAATTTCAGGCTTCAATATAAGTAGAGAACTGAGAAGGTAATAATCAGGCTTTTCTCTCACTTGCTGCTCCTCTGCGCTTAGCACACTGGAGGACATGCTCATAGAGGGCAAGCTTCTCGTCACAACTGAAGTCGGAGCTGCTCCTTCCCGCCGTCCATGGGACCTCCCTGTCTGCCCTTGGATTCAGCCCTGGGCGTGAGCAAAACATGCAAGCCGTTCAGACTATTATGAAAAAATTGGAGGAGGGACTACTGGCTCCGATGAGATTTGCTCTCGATGCAACTTAGGATGCATTGAGATATGGATTTTATGAATCATAAATGAACCTACACAGAAAAGGATACACCGCACGAAGAAAAGGATATAAGAGAGGAAAGGATAAATATCGCAGTCACTCACTGCTTGCCCTGCAAACACACAGCATGGTCTGTTGAGGTTTGCAATATGATATAAAATATTTATTTATAGCTGGTGGGGCTGGCTCTTTATGATAGGTTGCTCAAGCTCAAAATACTTTCGTAACTATTTACCATTAACATACCAGGACCTCAGTAACAGCAATTATATGTAGATCTAACTACCCTCATATTTACATGACTGATTTACTTGCAAATGGAACAGCCCCACAACTGCATTCAATTAGTAAAAATATCCAAATCCATATATATGTTCACACAAGCTTACCTGCATTCTTCAAGATCTCATATTGCATCTTGCAGTCTGAAAATGAAAAAAAGTCTTCCATTAGAGAGCAATTTCAGTCAGCAAGAATTGAAAATACATGCATAACACCAAGGGTAAATGCTAGTCTGACCAAGCTGAGAACAGTGCAAGCATCAAATCTTGGAATTAATTGACTAAGGACAACTGGGATCTGTTAGCAAGTTGAAACAACTACAGAATCAAAGAAAACAATATAGAAGAAAATAAGGAAAGATCTGCTGTAGTCTGCCCCATGGAAGTATGTCAAACAAGAGTAGACTCCTTCCTCACCCACTTCTCTATACTCATTCAAAAGATCTTGGAAATTTCCCATTTCCAATTTGGAAATTCCAACATTGGAAATTTCACCTTTTTGGAAATAGATAGTTCATATTGGAATATCTAGTTTTTTCCACCAAACAGGATGGATTGATAGATGTTTCTCCAATTTTGGCACAGTGAAATGCAAAAAATAAGCAGCTAAAGTGAGCTGTGATCACAGAGGCATGTTCAACATTTAGGTTTTTTTGTGTCATACACATTTGTGGACAACTGCACTTTCAAAACCAAATATCTATCAATGTGAGTTACCTTGTGCTAAATATCATCGCCTTCAGGTGATTTCATTTCCTCAAAATTGCTGTCATGATCCAGCATTCACAGAGTCAAGGCAGAAGGACTTCTACATGCATACAATACATAATCAACTGCAGAATGGAGAGCACAAACCGATGGGAACAGAGATGACAGCAGAGGAGTGGGCAAAGAAATAAGTAGATGAATCTGGTAGGGGATGCCGCCTGCAGGGTCCTCATATGGGCACGACGGAGGTTGTTGTAGCGAGACGCACAAGTAGGTGCCAGAGCCGTAGGTGGGTCACCGACGGGAGACGTCCTGTATGGTGATCGAAGACACACAATGGTTCTTGTTGAGTTATTATCCACTGTCCCATGTCTCCTCCTCTAGAGTGAGGGGATGACAAAAGCCCAAGCCCCCAATCCATTTTACTGTTCAATGTTACAATCATAGGCAGCAATTCATAGGGGCTCAGGGGGCTTGAACCCCCCCAAAAATTGGGCAGAAGGGGCTCACAGCAAGGAAATGAGAATAAGGAATACTTGCAAGAGTTCTGTCTCTGAGCACCCCCCTATTTTTCAACAAATTGCTGCCTAAGGTTACCATAGGGCAAACACAGATCACTCCATCTTCCCAGTTTAAAATCCCTACTGGAATATTCCAGCTTGACTAAATCTGTAAATTCGGATCATTTCCAGCTGACAAAGAGCTGGAAAATAGTAGATACCAGTTGGTTTATAGCTGGAATTTTCCAACTGGAATGGAGCTGGTTTCAATAGCTGTTTCCAG